TTCCACCGATCCCTAGCCTATCAAGCTTAGCGATCGCAATTTCGTGGTTCAGCTTATCGAAGGCTGCCGTAAGATCTGTGTAGATAACGTCCGTTTGGGTCCGAGCAATCAAACTGTCTGTGATGTAAGACGTTAGGCACAGCAGGTTCGTAGTTGTGGAACGCCCAGTTATGAATCCGTGTTGATCTGTACTTAGATATTATCTGCAATGCGCATTTAGGGACTCTATGACAACCAATTCAAAAAGTTTTGATACAGCACTCAGCGATGTGATTCCCCGGTAGTTGTTTACGTCGCGTTTGCTTCCCTTTTTATGAACAGGAAACATATCCGCAGTCTTCCAGCAAGACGGAAAGATGCCGCTGGAAAGAGAGAGCTGGAATATGCGGCGCAGTGGATCTAAAAGACAAGTGATGTTCTTTTTAAGAATAATCGACGGAACACCATCGGGTCCAGCCTTAGTTGAAGTCTTAAGTTTAGATGCTGCTCTAGAAATCGTATCTGTAGTGGCTTCGACCATGCTGAGCGTTTGGTTGATCAAAGGAACATTACTGGCCGCGGAAGTAATGATATTAGCGGAGAGTTGCTCGGCTACAAACACACTAGCAAATTTGGCTGAGAACAAGTTGCAAATGTCTTGTTGATTTCCAGCAGTTTCACCATTAAAAATCATGGAAGAGGGTAAGCCGACTTCCCTGCGTTGCTCATTTACGAAGTTCCAGAAGGATTTCGGGTGTGATTTTAGCCGCCGTTGAATCCTCCTTTGATAGCGTTGAAAACAGAGACGACTTAACCGCTTATACTCGTGGTTGAGTCTGACATAGTAGCATTTCAGTGGCAGTGTGCGGAGTTTAGTAAATCTTCTGAGAGCAGCCTTCTTAGTTCTTTTCAACGAGCGAAGATCTTTCGTCATCCACGGGACGCGAGAGTCGATATGGATGATCTTTTTGGAAACGTGTCTGTCAATGACATATGCCAAGACGTGAGAAAAGGTTTGTGCAGCAATGTTGACGTCTACAGGATCTAGAATATGCTCCCAATCTAGATTAGACAGCACATGGACGATACTGCAATGGTCAGCTCTACGGAAGTCATATGACACAGCGTTTGGAGTGCTGGTGAAATCATGGACAATAATATTTTCGATCACGATAACTAAAGCAGGGTGATGATGCACTACCTTGACTAAAGGTTCGGGTGCCGTGGAGAGGAAAGGAGCTGTATCACGAGCACTCACAAAGCAGAGATCCAGGGTGCGGTTGTTTTCATTCAACAGGCCATTGATTTGTGACAGAATTGCGGTACTATAACTGTCCAGGAGCTGGATGGTTCCTACGTGGAAAGATGAACGCTCGTGATCAGGACAAAAGAAACCACTATGGGTTGGAGTCCATGCAATGTCCGGTAGGTTAAAATCGCCAAGAACAATAACTTCGTCGGAAGGGCCTGCTTTGTCTGAAGCGGCCAAGACGGATCGACAATGTGCGTCAATAAGCTCCAAGTCACGGGTTCGATCTGGAGGAATGTACACTGCACAGAGAAGCAATTGACGATCACCAAGTTGAATAGCCACCCACATTTGTTCAACCCTGTTCCAGGAATCGTCCTCGATAACTTCTGCTTTCAGCTTGGAATTAACTGCGATAAGGACGCCTCCCCCAGTAGTTTTCCTACTATTATTCGTGTTTCGATCGCAGCGAAATATTTCGTAACCAGCACCAAAGACATAGTTTGAAATGGTTCGATAATTGAGCCATGTTTCGGTCAAAACTAAAATGTCGTAGCAGTGATCCATGACGGCCAGATGATAATCTTCCACGAGGCCGTTCATACCACCAACGTTCTGATAGTAAATCGTTATGTCCGACCTCCGCTGTTCGGGAACAACGGAAGGTTCAGCGTGTAGTTGCATTTGGGAGCTGGTAGATGTCACTTGACGGAGGAAGGATGTTCGAGTAGGGTCGCTGGAAACCAAGATATTTTCAGGCGATAATATATTCGTCGGTTGATCATACTTGCCAATAACAGGAATGTGGAAGACCCCTTCTCCCATCTCAAACGCAGGGCCGGGACGACTGCTGGTTGCTGGCAGGAGGGGCTCGACTGCGATGAGTGGAATAGGGGCTTCCTCAGGGCGGACGGCAAGAATGCGTCCCGGAGTGCAGTTGACTGTGGTGGCTCCATGTTGCCGACTGGCAGATGTTTGAGGTGAGTTGAAGGCACTGGAATTATGATCATCATCAGGCAGTGAAAGTTCGCTAGTAAGTGTGTACTTGCCTAATATAGCAAGCTGGGAGACCCTCAATCCACATCTAAACTCAGGGCCTATTTATTGCTATTATATTGAACACAGGTGTAGATATGAAATGATTGCAGATGTCAATGTGTATGGTCCTGGAGTAGTACCCACCGTTCTTGGCCACTGCAATGGTGCTCTGGTTGTCGTGTATTACCACAGATTTCTTAGACGCTTCTGCCACAGGGCTTCTTGGACGGCTACAGAAAGGGCCATGTACTCAACCTCGCAAGTAGAAAGCGCCACTGGCGTTTACAACACCACGAAATCACACTATCCTGGGCGATAAATACATATACGGTTACAGACTTCCGATCCTCACAGCTCGTCGCCTACTCAGCAACAGAATAACCGGTGATCTTCGGATCAGCATCCTACCTGTAGGGGATGGTCCATTAATTATGTCACGCAAATTTGGCCCATTTTCAAACCCCCTCCCCCCCAACCCTCCTTTGTCACATTTTTTGTATGAACCTTAATTTATTTTTGTATGGCTCGTCACAGTTTTCAAAACACCCCCTCCCCCCTAAATGTGTGACATAATTAATGGACGACCCCTAGGTCAATTGGATGTGTGATGTACCACGGAGATTCCTGAATAAGTGGGTGATTGACGGCGTTCCAATGCTTCTCTCCGGGGTTTTCGTTGAAACGGCAGAGAATGTTTACAGTGTGGCAGATGTCAAGGCGTGTACATTGGGTTAGGTAGATTAAACATCCCACCACTTCTTAATGGTTCACAACGCATGTGACTCGGGTGAATGTGAAACTTTTCGCGGAGGGAGTGCAAACGGAATTGTCCACGGAGTCATATCAGCATCCTGAAAACTCTCCTAGCTAGTGCTTCCAACTTCAAGTTCGGGTTCTTCTTGCATCGGATTCAAATCGTTGTTTTCCAGAATTTCGTGGTCACCGAAATTGCGGCCCGTTTGCAACCATGCTTGCAGATTAATCTCCTATTGTTGCTGGCAATCTTTCATGAAAATAACGTGTCTTGATTTGAATACACTCAAGTCTTCTTTTACAAGGTTGGTGCCGCTGAATGGCAATTTATACGGTACGTTTATAACGATTTATCCATAACAATACAACCTATCGACTTAATTTAAATCACATTATCCGTTTCAAGCCATACACACTTAAAAAATTTCGCCGAGATTCCAACAGCCGAGTAATTCTGCAATTTATTTTGCTGAGATTCAGTAAAACAATTGCCGAGACTCAGCTAACAAACACATATTTTGCAGAGATATCAGCAAAAGTAAATGCCGAGGTAATCGGCTGTTGGAGATTTTACCGAGCTAGATTAAGTGTGTAGGTAATCGAAATACGAATGGCAATAAAATCAGATTTGTTAAACATATTTTTTTTAGAAATTTTCGAAATTTCTGTTCTTGAATTCATTTTCTTCTTAAAATCTTTATCTTCTGGTGGTCGTTTATGCTGTGGGCAGTGTAGCTTATAGCGAATTCGTTTATTATTCAGTTCCAACCTGGATCGGGTATCAGGATTGGGTCTGCTTGTTTTCTGACAAACGTCAGTTTGCTCGTTTTTTTTTTAAACCTAGCTCAGGTTGAGGTTCGCACTGACAAAAAGTTCGGTTTCGCACTGGGTTGGAACTGGTTCCAACCCCGATAATAAACGAATTCGCTATTAGTTACAAAGCAGTTATACGTCAACAGTCCAGTTGACGAACGCTCATTTAAAAAGCAGCCCAGTTAGCGAACAAGTATTGTATATCGCTTTTAACGTTGTCTTGGCTTTTATATCGCATCACAATCCTGGCGATTATGGATTAGGGAGGGTACTAGGTATTTTACAATTCTTATAAATATTCGGTAGGTGGTCCTCTTTATCCAGAACTGCTGCAAGGTCGCCGGTACGAGGTTCCACCGTGGCAATGCTGATTCTTTCATGAAAGGGAAGGTGCCTAGAATTAAGCTTCCATCTGAACTTGTGCAAATTACCAGCATCATCGGATAGAGGAAACTTTCCCCAACTCAAAGATGGTATTAATTTGCGTAGGCGAGTCTTGAGTCACGAGAAAAGGGGTTCCGAAGTTTTGTTCGCAATAACTGACGTGCTCTTTTCTGTTGTTGATCGTGATTTGCTCGATTGGTTCCGCTATTTGACAGCTCAATTGGTTCCCGAGATTCTATGAGAGGGGAGCTTAGAAATCTATACTGTCCATAATCGCATATTCAGTCCCATATGGATAGGAAATCAAGCAAAGATGGGACTGATATGCGATTATGGGTAGTATACAAGCAATGTAAATTCTTCGGTCATTCACCTAGAGAGATGGGAGGGTTGTCGTTTTTCAGAACAATTCGAGAAGAAGTCTTAGAGACCCGTCCTTCCTAAAATAAAAACTAAGTGGTATTCCAAACAATATTTATAGATCTCTTGTCAATAATTTGTTCAAATTTTCCCAGCAGCATTCGAGAAATTGAAGCAAATTTGTGTGTACAGTGACGTGCCCTATTACCATGGGGTTAGGACCTATTTTTGTTTTCTATTATTATTCACAAAATCGTAGCTACAAGAACGTTTCGTAAAAAAATATCTGCTTCCGTTGTTTTTCCGGCTATCAGTCTTCGAGTGGTCAGAAAACTTCCAGTCCCCTAATTTTAATTCAAACACCTATGTTGTACTTGTCTACCGCACACATCTAAAGCATCATCTCTCTTTTAATCCATTTCAGTAAAATCCTACGGTACGGAGGATCGTGAGACGCAGTTTCCGATCGCCCCGCAGAACCAATGCTACGATTACATCCTATTCCGCGGGTCCGACATCAAGGACATCCGCGTCATCAACAACAACCCGGTACCGAACGATCCGGCCATCATGCAGATGCATCTGCCCCCGCAGCAGTCCCTTCCGCCGATGCAGGGCAAGCTCGGTCAACCGGGCTTCCAGCCGCAGCCGGGTTTCATGATGCCCCCGATTGGCCCCGGAGGACCCGGCCCGATGGGTGGCCCACCGCCCGGTCATCAACCGATCGGTCAACCATATAGCTCGTTCGGCGGACTAAACAATCTCGGAGGTATGCTTTCAAACGATTTGGTTAATAAGAGTCCATTCCCTCCCGGTGGGCCGGTCAATCAAATGCCAGGGCAGCAGCAGCAGCAACAGCAGGTCCAACCGGGTGGTGGAACCGGCGTTGGTTCTTCGGCGGGTGGGTCTGCCAAGGCACCAGGCTCCGAACTGGTCAGCCTGTTAGGTGCGGATCCACCGCTACAGCAGCCGACACCACCGGGGCCTGTGGGATCTTCGGCCTCTTCCGTCATCGTCGGCAATGAGCTCAAAGATCAAGGTGGGGATGTGCGCAGTAAAAAGCGATTCCTAGTTTTTCTCATTCATTTTAATCAGTTGATTTGGTTGGGTTTCGTTTTTTCCCATTTATTCCTACCTGTCCAATGCATAGTATCTTTCTATTTTATTATATTTATCCTCCGGCATCCGATTTTATAATCACTGTTTGGCTTTTTAACCGCAGTTAAGTAGTTTTAGCGTGTGAAACATTTGTATAAATCATATTTACTCCGTTTAGTAGAGGTATTCAGTTGAGAAAGGTAAACCGTATTATATGAGCGGGTTTTCGATCTCAAATGAATATCAAAATAATTTTGAGCTTCTAGCAGTTTTCTACTGTTACCGGAAGGGTGTTCTTTGGATGTGTCTTTGAAACCTATCTATTGTCGTTTTTTTTTTCATTTTCCATCCATATTATAACCAGACCATCGTTCTAGTATTGCGTAGTAGGTATGCACTTTGGATACGTCTATCATCAGACGTTATCTTCGGGGTCTTTCTTGTTCGGTCGATGTTGAATGTTTCTATGATTTTAGTTACGTTCAACTGTTTGTCTAGAATATCCGATGTTGCATATCGAAATGCTCTGACAATGACAAGACTCTACATATCAATCGAAACGGGGCAAAACTGTTACAGTTGTCGGTGATTAAGTTGGATTTTTGTAGATACAAGCTTATTTGGAACCCTGACGGAATGTAGGTGGCATTGAATGGTAATTACTAATATTTATCTCTTTGTTTATTAAACTTTTTTTTTGGCTTTCTTCTTTTCAAAATTTCAAACTTTTTGTTAAACACCTCTTCTACAATAACTGTTTAATTTTATTGCAGCTTTATGCTAAATATAAACGCTCAAGGTATTTATTTATCACCTGGGGCCAGACGATTATTGGCAAGGGAATTAATCTAAAAATTTCTCCTAGAACGGAATTCGCTATGAATTAGTTATGCTTACAACTTTCCTTAACTTTCTGATGTGATTTCCCTTGCATTTCTCTTAATTGCTCCAAGGAGAAAAGCGATCCATGGAACTTTCTCGTTTAATTTCTATTTCGAAACTATAATCGAAGCGCTATATGCCCCTTCAATATGCAGTTGTGGAGGATTGACTTTTACTCTTTAAGAGCAAAACTGCCTTAAGCCGACAATGTGACGTAAATCCATCTATGGCGGTAAGCTCCAACTCAAAGCAGCTGGACAGTCTTGATCGGGATTTAATCCTAGGATAATACCAGTTGGAGCTTACCATCATTAGTTAATTGTTCAGAAAACATACTTTGGATTAACCACGCACCACCATTAACCACGATGGCGAAAATTATCAAAAATATTACTGAACCTGTTTTTTCCCTTAGTCTGTTTTCCGTTGATTAGTGCTGAGTTTTGTCATTGTCAATGTCAATGACAAACTTATGCGCGATATTGACAAACTTGTTTTTCCCATAGTCACTGACAGACTTGATCCTCAAAGAAACCTTCGTCACCTTATGTTAACAATTCCGGATTGATTTGAGATTTGGGCGTAATTGCTTTTGCGAACAGAAGCTCAATCTCGTAACCAAACTATACCGAATAATAGTGCTATTAGTTTTTGAGATTGAGTTTTTATTCGAGAAAAATCGGCGATTGACGTGTTTGTTTACAAATGCATTTACGCCCAAATCTCAAATCACTCTGGAATTGACAATTGACATGACTTGCCTTGACGATGACTGTTAGTTCAATTGAGTGACCAAAGCAGAATTTTGAATATCGCCGTGTAAAGGGTGTTTCGATAAAAATGGCATACACATATTTACTCACCAAAATTAAACCGATTATCGGATTTTCTTGGAATTTTCAGGGAATGAAAAACTACTAAATGTCACTAATGAGTTATGATTTACGAAATTTGATTTATTCAATTTCGTCTTCCATCCCGAATGCCCGCACCTTCCTTTTTTTCATTCCACCCATCAAATTTTGTACAACCGATTTTCCCAGTGTTTTTGTTGTTTTTACACAAATTTTCTTCAACTCCAGCTCTGTTTTAATAGTTTTGGGGTGTTTGCGAAGTTCCGGTGAATTTGGTGGGTTCATATCTTCTGGCCAAATGCTAGATCAGGCCAAAACAGAGTTGATCCTTTGTGTTTCTATGAATGACCGCTTCTTAACGCATTCTTCCGTGTAAATCGCACCGTTGATTGTTCCGGAAGTGATGAAGGGAACGCTTATTTCACCACATCCGCAAATCGCCTGCCAGATCAGGAACTTTGCACTTTGCAAATTTCGATAATTTCTTCTATCGAACATCCTCCGGAACATCGAACTTAGACTTGGCAACGAAATATGCTTGCCCAGGAAGTTGACGGAAGTCGGCATCACGATGCAACACGATTTGGTGAGCGACTTCGTGTAAAGTTTCCGGGCGCGGGTTCTCGCGGTGATGTTTTGCTTTTCATTCCGGTTTGGAGCTTTTTGCACCTTGTAAACATGTAACACAGCTCGCTTCATGGTTTTCTGCACAAAACCGACTGACACCTTACGACTGCGACATCTCGAATTGACATGTTTGAACGGTTCTTGAACTGTTGCACCACCTTATTGGTCATTTCACTGTCCATTGGACCACTTTACAACCACTCTCTTCTTTCCTGTGGGCACTCAGACGCTCCTTGAAGGTTCTTATCACGCAGTTGTATTGCAATTCCAAGCTTTTTAGCGATCCATGGGACGCCTCTGGATGTTGATTGCAAGGTGCAAAACATTTTTTCACGGGCAATTTCTTGTTTCGATGACAAGACTGGAACTACTGTATGAATAACTATGAAACTTGACAGATGTAATCAATACATACGGTTCAAAAGTTAAAGAAGATTTTCGGTGTGCCATTTTTTTCGAACGCCAGGGAGGCAGCTCCCACGCCTGGACCCTACCTATCGATCCATCAACTACTACTCATGGACCGGGGACAAACGGCTTTACTTCCCTTCCGAAGGAAGTCGTGATCAGAGAGAGACACTTTCTTATCTCACGGCGATGTGAACTTTTGAGAAGTGATATGCTGAGCAAAATTTGAAGTCAATTTTGAGGTGAATTGCATGGGAATTCAAAGAAGAATTAAAGCGAATACAAATTTTTTTTTTAGGAGTGCTCTGCAGAGAGTGTCCGGATTGTTATAAGAAATTTTCAAGGGACTACCAGAGAGAATCTAAAATTTACTGTAGAATAATTCTGAAAAGAACTCTGTTATGGGAAAAGATTGCAAAGGAAATGCTTGAGAACAATCAAATGAAATCCTGTTAATTTTTGAGCGAATGTGCATAGACAAATCTTGGCCACTTCAGACTTCAATTCGACGCAGAACCAAATTCAAGATCCAGAAAGAAATGTTGCTGTCTTAATAATGACCAATTTAACCTACTGATCTCTTGAGCTCAATCGCAATCGCTTTTATGCTTAATTTTAATGTATATCGCACAACCGGGCAAATTTCCAAAATTCCGAGAAATAACTAATAGGGATTTGCTGGTCACCGTGTTCCGAATATTTTCTTAAAACTTTCGAACTTCTTTTAGAAACATACGATGAACAAAGAACAACGATTCACTAAATTGTTTCGTATCGTATGTATCTGCTCCGTTTGGGACAAGAATTCCATCTGGTGCTCAATCATATTGCATAGAAAATACTTGTTTTTTTTTTTTATCCCGCCAAGGATCGGTGCACGTATTGATTGTTGTCTCTCGCAGGCGATATGTGTATCCAAGTTTGACATCACACTCCTTTAACCATTTAAACAGCGGTACAACGAAAGAGCCGACAAATTCACATTGCCCACCTGTTCACATCACATTGATGTGTATGTGCTTTAAACTGGGTTTAGACTAGGCAAGTCAAATGATCAACTCAGGTGAATTCAATTGGCTTGAAAAGTTGAGCCTGGTTCAACTTTTTTCAATTCAAGTGAGTTGATCAAGTCAGTTGAATGGCATGGTTTACACGTTCAATTCGCGTTCAAGTCATTACATTTGACTTGTTCAATCGACTTGCCCTGTCTAAACCCAGCTTAATGGAAAGTTAAATGATTCGTTTTCATGAATGCGTCCTTCATGCCTTGTTCCGATTTGAGCTTATGAAACCGCTTTCTCCTCGCCAATCCTGTACGCTTTTGGGCCTATTCTGCGCGGCGTGTGAGGTGAGGTGACAGTGAAGTGATGGTGAAGTGACAATTGTCACCTCGGATGAGGTGCGTCTCCATGCAAATCAAATGGAGAGTCACCTCACCCGAGGTGATAATTGTCACTTCACTAGTGACAGCGAGTCATCTCACCTCACACGCCGCGCAGAATAGGCCTGTTTATTTCATGAACATTCGCGTCCAGTGCGGAACATGAAGCAAAGTGAACTCTTTATTCCATCACCCTTCACTCAAAATGTCGAGGGGAAGTACAGCTACTGCTGTCGCCTTCTTCAATAGTTGATGCGAACTAGTGACATTGTCTCAGTCGACGATGAACTAGTAGATCATGGGGCATCGTACCAACCGGTGGCAACTAACGATTTTAAATTGGCTCACTATTGGTCCCAAGTACATCAAGCGTACCCTATTCTAGTCGAAATGCTAGTACTACGCAATGTTTGTTTTTGTTATCTATGAAAGTTTGGGACCGAAGATAATACCAGAGCTGAGCCAAAAAGAAAATTTTTCCGAAGTTTCTCCCGACATCTCTTAGAATTTATTTTTTGCATCGCGTAGGAGTATCTGTCTTCTGGATTTGTTTCGGAAGATTTTTTCGACATTCTCCAGAAGCTTTCTTTGATCTATCCAAGGAGATTTTTTTCAAACTTCCTTCTTCCTCAGTAAGCTTTTCCAACTCCAGGAAGTTTTTGGACTTCATCTGGAAGCTTCTCCAAACTTCCTCGAAAATATTTTTAAAATTGATGTTTTGATAGATTCCCCCTTATTCTGCGAGTCACGTGACTCTCTGTCACCGGTGAGGTGACAATTGTCACCTCGTGTGAGGTGACTCTCCATGTAAATCAAATGGAGAGTCACCTCACACGAGACAGAGAGTCACGTGACTCGCAGAATAGGGGGGATTATCTAGAGACTTCCGACTTTCCTGGAAGTATTTTTTTCCGTCGATTTTGTTTTCCGTACTGAGTACCAATGCTATCGACGCCACGGAGGCATCTTCCACACCTGGACCCTACCTATCGACCCATCAACTCATGGACCAGGGATCAACGGCTTTACTTCCCTTCCGAACGAAAGCGTGATCAGAGATTTTATGCCTCAGAAAACCCCAGCGGCGCCGACTGCGACTGAACCCAAGCCTTTTGGAGTGAGAGGCAATCAATCACGCTTACCATTTCCTGGAAGTTATAACTGACTACTTCCGGAAGTTTCTTTCCACATCCTTCAGAAGATTTCGCCTGTAACTGCCTTGTTTTGAATGCTAGCTTCGGACAGACAAGACTAATTTGAGACCATGAGATGACGATTTATATCCAAGTGAACACGGAGGAATGATCTTACGTGTAGAAGTCTTGAGTATTATCTAGGGCAGGAACTACATAACAAAGAAAGCCGACAGTAAGTAGATAAAAATTGCATGCAGTGACCGTTCAGGCATTCCTCATGGAGCATTCTAATCATCAGTCAGGACTATTCAATATCCTTCGTAGTTTTACTCATCATTGCCATCGTCATCCATCGCAAAACTCTCATCATGTGAATGATCATCTGTCATGTGACTTGTTCTCTTCTCTATATAGGTAGCTCAGTTGTTCCACCAGCGTTATGATTGTTTGTTCCTTCTCTAGTTACATATTATTGCTTTGCTGCCTGCTTGCTACTCACAACGTACTGTATTTGAGTTTGATCTTTAGTACCGCCCTTCCTTCTGAATTACCTACCCTACATACGTAAGAACATATTGCAAGAAAAGTGACGACCCTAAACTGACGCTAGATGTGTTTTAATATTAGAATCGGTTCTAGATTTGATTGGCGGCGGCGCTGGAGGAGGTGCCGGTACCGGTGCGGCTAGCGGATCCCGCTCGACGACACCGAGCAATTTGCTGTCCCGCAAGAGCCCAACGGTCGACATGGGCGTGCAGACTAATCAACAACAGCAGCAGCAGGGTAGTACTGGTGGCCAGCAGCAGAACCGTGACGGCAACCGCAGCGGAGGCGACGGTGCCAATCTGGATCGAGGCATGAACCAACGCAATCGGAACAATGGCCAACGTAGCCACCACCAGCAGCAGCAGCAACATCAGCATCAGCGGGAAAGACGCGATTCCGGCAAGATCGATGGTCAGATGAAGGATAACTACAACAAGGTAAGTGCAACGGATATCTCGATTGAGTTGATCAGGCTGTAGGTATAGGATCAAACTGTTCGAAAATTTCTTAGTTTTTTTTTTTAGTTTCTGATTGTTTCGTTTAACTCTTTTTATTTTTCTTAGAACAACATGCAGAACAATATGCAGAGACAAGGAGGAGGAGGCGGGGGAGGAGGAGGAGGTGGTAATCAGAACCGTGGCTGGCATAACAATCGTATCAATAACCAGAACATGAGCAATAACATGCGTGGTCGTCCGCGTGGACGTGGAGGTCTACCGCAGGTAATGTGTCAGTCGGAATGTATTTACTCCCATTAGAATGGAAATCTATAGAAATGATAGAATTTGCATTCGTTAGTTGGTAGTGCATTTACCATCGCAACAGACAGACCGACAGGTTCTGATTTCTGTTAGTCTTACCTTTCACATCTTATGTGTAACAGGAGGGATTCGTGTCCTGATTTTCTCATTTGAATTACATAGTGTTTTCATTTCAATAATTGGCATACGTCATCTTAGCTTTAAGATTTGTTAAAAAACGTACACTCTTTGGTAGGTTGAATTGGCTTAATTGATTAAATTTAATTTCCGGAATCTATGTTTTACGATTGAGCTTAAAATATTGCACACAGTTTGTAACATGTTATGATTTCTTGTTGGCATTTCATGTTTTTGCCTAGTTAATTTGTATTACGGTTTGTACATTCTTAGAATATATTCAAGTACATGGAAGAAGCGGTGCGGAAAATTCCTACCCTTGCCTAGTAAATTTTGGAGTACCACATTTGGCATAAATACGGATAACGCTGTTTATACCGAAAAATAGTCCTTTTGTCTTTTTTACAGCAGTTACAGCTTTCTCCTTTTATGGGCAGTGTAATTACTTTTATAATAGAGTACGAAAAAAAACAGCTCATGATCAAAAGAACCGAACATAATTATTTAGTTTATTTAATTATTTAACATATTGTTTTGAAGATCAGATCATGATACAAAATAGTAACAGACAATAAAATGCATTTTTTTCGCATTTTTGCCAAATGGGGTATATCCTTAATTTTAATATCTTAGCTTTCCTGACAATTCGATAAAGATTTTGTTGAAGTTTTAGAATTCATGTAGGGAAAATGACGGCTTCAAGACTTCCTTATATCTATTATTGTCAGGGGGTAAATGAAGTCTTAGAGTGTTCATTTTTTGCAAAATGATACTTTGGAATATGATACATCTTGAAGCACAAAATCAGCGCTCAAGGACTTCATTTACCCCCTGACGACAATAGGTAAGCAAGTGTCGGAAGTCGTCATTTCCCCTAGAAACTTCCTAAATTTTTAAGCAGTTTTTATTAAATGAAATTTCCATGAGGTGTCTTTCCTTTCATCTTCCACTAACCCCACTGGTACGATGCCGTCCCTGCTCAAACGGCCCGCAAACGATGAAAAGAACTGTTAAACCTGGTTAAGTCTGGATCTTAGTGAATTACGGGTTTAGTTTATCTGAAACTGCTAGATAGTCCTTTAACGATTTGTTGAATTAATCACAGTATTGATTCCAGCAATCCTGGATCCGGAGACAAAAGGATTGAGCGTATTTCAATCTTTAGGCATGATGTTGTTGCATACTTATTGAACAAACGTTCGCACAAATCTTTGTTTAGTTTGACTATAGTTTTTTTTTTTTATTTTGCGAGAAATAACTGCTTTTAACTTCATTCCCGCAAACACACAAAACTGAACTTGTGTTTCTTTCTTTCTTTCCTTCGTGTATCGCTCTCTATCTCTCACACTATCTTGCACGTGCCTGTGCGTGCCCATTAAACTATCCACGCGTCAATTTCACGCATTGGATTAAAACCATTCTCCGGAAATTAAATTCAATCAAACTAAGGGCTCCAACACCAACTACCGCCGAAAGAGTGCTACCTCTAGTGATAGGAATACTAAGAAACCATCATCGTCCACTGCTACTACCAATACCAATACCACTGCTACCACTACTACTACTACTAGTAATCGCAACCTTAATAACAAGAAGCCTAATCATCAAAAACAGGGTGGCAACCGTGCGAAGAATCTGCTCAAGTTCGAGAACGACTACGACTTCGAGCAGGCCAACAGCAAGTTCGAGGAGCTCCGTTCCCAGCTGTCCAAACTCAAGGTGGGCGATGAAGCAAAGCCAGAGCAGGTATCCTTTTTTGTTTTCTTAATATTTTTATTTGCAATACCCGAAAACACTACATTCGTGTAGAGGATCACTCCGGTGATTGTGATTCCATGTCTGTCAGTAAAATTGAACGAATAACGAGATTCCTATCCCAGTGAAGAAGGCGTCTATAGAGTGGAGAGCCTGTGAAAAAATGAACTTTCTACTTTTCAATTCTACTACCTTATCCTCGACAGATCTGCATATTTGGTTTATGAAATACGCGTATCTGGCGAAGGTAAAGTAATGGAATACAATAGTAATTGCTACCTCTTCTGACATTCCTATGTTTTGTTTTTTTTTTCTTACGCGCCAAACGAGTCACTAGTTTCACTTTCATTCACACATCGGTTCGTGCAATGAACCTGTCTTATTACTGTGCTAAGATCCTTTTGCTTTTTTTCGGTAACCGTTTTACTAATTCATAATTGTATCGAAGGAATACAATTATCATTGGTTGAAAGAGTAAGCAATATCAAACAAATTAGGCTCGCAAATTCTGTTCTCAAAATTCAACCGATACAATCTTGCTTATTCGTTTCAATCGTTTGTATGTGTTCACACATTCACCGTTGCTTATGTTTCACGAAAACCTGCTCAAACACACATTATCTTTCTCGCTGTTGCCACTGGGAATCATCAGTTAACTAGCGAAACCTTGGACAAAAAGGATGACTCCGGCAACGAAACGGGTGCAGGTGACCATGAGCAGGAAGAGGAAGAAGGCGTGTGCTACGACAAGGCCAAGTCGTTCTTCGATAACATCTCGTGTGAAGCGATCGAGCGTGCCAAGGGCAAGCAGCAGCGTACCGATTGGAGGCAGGAGCGCAAGCTGAACACCGAAACGTTCGGTGTCGGATCCACCCGACGTGGAGGGTAAGTTAATGAGGTTTTTCTATTCTCGATACTAGCAATAAGATAACCGTAAGGGTCCGCTTTCGGCAACACACGATATTTGACATCACCGTTCGCCCAGGCTAAGGCTTGGTTGTCCTTTTCTGAATGTAGAAGTCGTTTCCATTCTACTCGTCTGCGGAGACTCCGCAGATCGCATTGTATCTGGTCGACCACCTTGGTCATTGCGTGCTTCTTCGTGTAGTCAGGTCTGTTTCGAGAACCATTTTCATCGGGTCCGTCGTCCAACACTCTTACGAATGCGGTACACCGGAACATGTCTGGATGTGGCAAATTTGGTCCTGGACGCTCAATATGACCACCATTGATCTTATTTTTGAATTCTCATGTGATTTGAGGTGTCACATCATGGGTTTAAAACGATTAAGACCAAGACTTCCATATTTCCGGAACCAGTTGACCGATCCATTACAAAAAATATTAATTCTATAGGACCACAATACCTTCCGTTTGTGGTTTTTGCGTCCAATTCGGTTCAGTGGCTGCCGAGAAACACGAGCTTGAGCTTGAGCTTGATTGACCGCCCACGGTTGCTACTCTGTTATTGCCAGATCAGCTGTAATTACACAGAGAACCAATAGACGATGCTTGGGACTAGCAATCATCCTCAATGTGTAAAAACTGGTGATCTTGAATTAGGCAATACCAGCGCCGGCCGCGCCCGAACACAGGTCAAGAAAGGAATGGGAAGGATTGTGTTGACATGACACTCGCTTTGATGGAAGCCGAGAACACCTCTGCACTTCCACGAGGAATCACTGGGATGTTGGATAAGAGGGTTGGGTTTGCAGCAGGGTTCGTTTTGGTAAACGATAAGCTGAATTAATGTCCTAACGATCATATAACGCGAAGGAGCTTGGGACTAAACCCACGGTCTTCTGCTCAGTAAGCAAAAACGTTTGCCACTAGGCAGACGAGCACCTTTTTAATCACCGAGTTGCTGTTATTACCATGTAGTCATATTAACAAATAAAATGATTGACGAATCTTGATTGTGGATGGGCCTGAGATTAGACTCATGATGTTCTGCTCAGTAAGCAAAAACGGTTGCTCTAAGGCCACCGAGCCCCTCATATCACATAATACCGTTGCTCAAATTTTTGTATCCATTCAAACCCGGAACCAACGACAACAACGAGTTTCGCAAAATACACGATACACAAGCGATTTTACTATAAATCTCTTTGATATGTAAGGACCTGGGACCGCGTTTTTCTGCTCAGTAAGCAGGCCACTGTAACCGACGATCTTTCAAATCCGAAAACTAAAAACTACGAAAAAGTACTTAGGCCTTCATTAAGTTCCACATTCACGCGACGTACAATGTTTCAATTTGCTCTTTACGTGTTGTTCAGGCTAGGCCCTTTTCAAAATTTACGCGAGAAATACGCACAATCGTCACCTACCTCGCAAAACTGGTTCCAAACGACAACAAAGGCATAAGCAACGATGGATTGTTGAACTTTGCTGGCTCCGGTGGTGTAGTGCACAGCAAAAAAAATGTAATATCGATCAACGTAATTCAAGCCTGATGTATGGAATAATGATGTAGGGTAGATGTACCAGTCACGGCTATACGCTCCTATTATGATGTGTTCCAATCATGGCATATAGGATTTCCATAGGCCATGACTGGAACACACCACAACAGGAACGCACAGCCATAACTGGTACATCTACCCTAATTGTAATTTTGTAATTTATCCGCACACACCCTGGTCGACCACTGTAAACCAATCTGCCGTTCAGCGTTTTCGGTTTTTGTTTCTGGATCTTTAGTTGCCTCTGTGATATACTTACTTGCGGCATACTATTTTGGGAGTGTATATGAGCGTGTACCATGTACGGTAGCTCATCTCTCATCGTGATGGTGGGACATAGTAGACAAATTAGAGAGAAAACAAGGAGGTATTAGTATTAGTTATATGTAAACAAACAAAACAAAAGTTAGATAATGCGGCACTGTAACTACTACTATTTTAGAGGTATGATTCGTCATGTTTAACTCAATGTTTCAATTGAGGCAAACTATCTATCTTACAATTACAAAAGCAAACCTAAACTTACAATTATATGCAAATGCAAAATGAAACTTGACAAATCATCGTCAATTCCCTTATTCCAGGGCAGGGCCTGACGATTTGAATCTAATTTTGATCAGTGAACGGGCACCATATGGTACATTTTCTCACCATGAACCTATCATTTCCAGCCTATCTGAACTATTTAATAAATGGAAGCCATAACATGGGTTACGCTCCCCCTAAGCGGGCCCTCCGCATCCTGTCTCTGTCTTATCTCAAATACAAAATGCCAATGGTATGAATGTATCTATATATAACTTGGAAATGACGTACAATCAAATAAACCCGTAACCCACTCACTTGGTCAGGCTTCAGAATCGTCCAGTGGGCAGTGCACTCTACACTCCAAGTTCCCTTTTTTTCAAATTTCCCGCAAATTTGATATTTTACCCATTGAGTGTTGATTAGTCACAATGAAACATTGTGACAGAAGTTGAGGTTACTAGTGTATTAAATAATCTAGGTCCTATTTAGGATTATATCTGAAAAATCCAAATCTGGCCAACGCCCACCCTAAACCTAAACCTGTTCTAATCCACCTGAAATGACTAACGAATGGAAGACTTTGACTACCCAGCCATGCAATAGTCTCATTCCGTGCCTTATGGCAACTTGATGATTCTATTGCGCTCATCTTCTGGCACCACCCAGGGGAGACTTGGTCCTGTACCCAATGCTTAACTTATCTCCATTCCACTCAACTACTCGCAATTTCGTGTGATATAGTGGGCGGAATATTATTATATGAGACAATTCAATGCAGACGTCTTTCCAAATTTGGCAGATCGACAGGTAATCGGTGAGTTAGCACGATAGTTGCTATTCAACAACTCGACAACGTCCCATCGTCAACGCCTGCTATGAGAATTTCCCATAGCAGACGCCAACGAAATGACGTCATCGAGCTATCGATCAACTACCCTGGTTATCGCCTGGTACCTTATAGCACGATGCTAGGAGGCGAACCGGAAGAATCGATGAGCTACCTCCCCCACAGTGGCTGCCGAGAAACACGACTTAGAAAAAAATCGGTACACACAGACGTATTCCTATTTCGTCGAGCTAAGTCGAAAGTCGGTTTTCCAAGCTAATAGATAGCCTTAAAACGCCAGAATGTTCAAAAATAACAGTATAACAAAACATGTATAGTTAGTAGTAAGTTTCATTCCTATGCTTTGAACACTGGTGTCTGCTGTTCATGGGATTCGCCTTCATTTTGCTCTTGCGTCTCTTCAGTCTACGATTTTTCTCCGAGCCCCTCTATCTCTTCTTCTGTTTATTGTTTCGTTATTGTCCGAAGATACAACTCCAAGCACTATGTCGGCTTACGTACTGCTACCACTCTGTTCTATAGACACTGTATACAGTGTCTATACTCTGTTCTTCGTTCCGTTGTAGCTTTTCTGACTGCTTCCGGGGTTACCGCTTGAGCAGTAATTCGTCCGATGCCCCTTCGTCATGCATAAGATACATTTAGTTTATTCCCGTCATAACATACATTCTGACTGAGAAAATTAAGTGAGCCTGTCTGTTTCTCTTTTTCACCTTAGAATTCACCTCAGAATTTCTTAGAACTATAATTTCCCAACTCAAAATTGTCTTGGAGATCTGGACAGAGTTTCTTTAGAGTTTTTCCCTTGATTTTTAAGGAATCCTCAGCGTTTCTTTTGAATTAACATTTTAATTCCTTTTAAATTTATCCTACATTTCCGGCAGAATTCTATCAAAAATCAAGCGGCCCTAAATAACATTGACAGATTCTCTTCGTCGATTTTCTCTTTGCATCCCCATGACCATGTATATATATTTTTTGATTTTACGGTTTAGCGACTTTGCAGTCAATTTAATTGTTTATAGGAAAGTTTGAACATACTGAGAGGTAAGCACATATCATCGGTAAGAGACATGTGTGTGAGAAAATTTGCGAAAAAATCTAAGGGCACCGGTGGGATTCGAACCCACAATTCCCATTCAGTACACGGGTGCATTGCCAATTATACAACGGTGGACCTATGGTCTACGGATGTATTTGGCTAATGACATTTGAGTTTCGAATCCGTTCCCCACCCTAGTCTTTTTGTGCAAGCGTTCTCTGATACACAACAATCGTCTATTATCGACGATATGTGCTTGTACCGCAACCACTCAGTATCAGTCGATGTGAACAAACACAGCTCATTTTTGTTATTCATCTTACATGCTGAAATATGTCCAGTACAGTATGACTCTAACATTTTGAGCTGCCGGCCTCACCTCCGACCACCGGGCCGTAGTTGATGAATATCAATTACTTTTACTTTTTGATTTTACGGTTTAGCGACTTTGCAGTCAACGGATTCGAAACTCAAATGTCATTAGCCAAATACATCCGTAGACCATAGGTCCACCGTTGTATAATTGGCAATGCACCCGTGTACTGAATGGGAATTGTGGGTTCGAATCCCACCGGTGCCCTTAGATTTTTTCGCAAATTTTCTCACACACATGTCTCTTACCGATGATATGTGCTTACCTCTCAGTATGTTCAAACTTTCCTATAAACATGTATATATATATTTCCAGCTAATGTGAACACATTAACGCTATTATCTAGCACCTAACACAGTTTTGTAGCCAATTTATTAAAGACAGAGAATGTCGACGAAGAGAATCGCTTGAAATCTTTAAATTGTTAGATTCCTGACAATTCTTTCAAGTTCCAAAACCTTGAAAACTTTTCAGGGTGAAATCTTGGATCTTGAGTTTTTTTTTTTAAGATCCACATTTTGAATTTTTCAGTTCCATATTGATGTTTTCGAAATCTTGGATCACAAAGGTTTTATAATGCACAATCCTAGTAACAGTTTTGGTTTTATAAGGGTTTTGCGCAGACCATTA